CGCTTGAGGCGCCGCAGAACTTCCCGACGTTGCTTGAAGCGCGTCCACCATAGACTTTGTATGTAAACCTGCTGCTCCTGACGCTGAAATCGCGGTCGGTGTGAACGCACCATTAGACTGTTTAGGTACCAACTGATAGTCTAAAGCAGAGGTCTTCAACCCTGTGCCTCGTGACCCTCTGCCCTGCATGTTTTAGCTGTTTCCCTGCTTTGGCACACCAGAATAAAATGATTAAATTGCGTATTCAGAACGTCAAGTTTAGCAGAAGACAGTCAAAAACATATTATTTTCTATCAGGTGTGTTAAAACAGGTAAACATCTAAATACATGCAGGACAGTTAGTCACAAGGAACGGGGTCTAAAGCCAAAAATAATCTTCACTCAGAGTTATTGTTTCTCATCTTTTCTCTGTAAACCAGTGGTCCCCACACTACGGCCCGCTGGCCAAGTATGGCCTGCCCCCACATTTGGCCCAGCCCCCTGAACAATACCAGAGAGGCATTATGATTTTTTTAAATCTGCCCCGTGAATCCTTGACTATTTTATCRGATTTTATCKGAGAAAATCTTATCARTGCACYTCACACAAATACAGGCCACATGAACCGAAATGTTTCATAGAAAAGGCAACGTTTGCAACAGATGTGGATTTTTATTCCAGGAAAAAATAAAACAAAAATAAGATGAATTATAACATGATTGTCTAGTAAATAATCTGCAAGTTATTATAAATAAATATGTACGCATTGTAAATCTATATTTTATTAATCAAAATTTATACAATATTAAAACTGTTTTCAGAATATAATTTAACACACCTTTATAATCAAGTATAGAAATAATTATTTAAAGTATTTTATCCTAAGTGGAGCACATTCTAGAAGTCTATCATTTAGCRTTTGCGCAAATAAGCTGTATTTCTTTCGGCACATGTGCAAATGAGTGGACAATCACCATTGTTTGGCACAGAGTTAGTTTATGTTCTGAAGGGTGCATGATGTCATGTCAGTTTGTTATGAGTGGACCTGTCATTAAATCAGGCAAAGAAATGCCTCCTAAATTCACTGATTGTGGTTATCAGTATTTTACCTGTTTACTGGGTAAAGTTTTTAATGTTCTTAGTTTTAAACATGCAGTTGAGGCTCATCATTGCTTTTATTTTGTTCTGTTACAAATAAAACTAAATCAAGAATAAACTATATAAACTTTAAATTATTCTCTAAAATCATTGTTTGTGATAAATTGTGTCACATTCATTTCATTATCATGGCTATAGCAGTGAGTTTAAAAACAAGATGATGCAACTAATTAAATGAAGAATCTGTCTCTAATTATTTAATCAAGTGTTTTTATGTAGGTAAAAGTATGTTTAGAAACCTGTAAAATACACCAGAATGCAGGAAACTGCATCTACTAAGTTCAAAATTTTCTGGGGGAGGACCCCCAGACCCCCTCACCGGTGAGCCCTTCACACACATTACAATGTTTTTAGAGAGAAACCAACACAGAGCGCCACCTGTGTACCTCTCTGTTGTATGAAAAGTATAAACCCCCAGCTTTGTTTTTTTTTATTGGGGGGGGGGGGTAGGAAGAATATTTCTGTCAAAAGATTTTTTTTCGCTTTAACCCATGCAGTATACTGATCATGTTTGAAGCTGATAGGTCGAAATCCCCAGGACGAGTTTGTTAAAGTTCGACATGAGCCATTATTACATCATYATGTCTGTATAACATTAGAAATGCAATAGGCCTTCGCAGCACTTTCACAGCTTGGGCCTAATAATATTAATAAAGGGCGTTACAGTAGCTCAGTTGGTATAGCAGTTGCCTCTCAGCAAGAAGGTTGCCAGATCRAATCCCGGCCCGGGCCCTTTCYAGGTAGAGTTTGCATGTTCTCTTTGTGCATGCATGGGTTCTCCCTGGATAATACAGCTTCCTCCTACAGACCAAAAACATGACTGTTAGGTTAACTGGTAACTCTAAATTGTCGCTAGGTGTGAGTAAGAGAGTGAATGGTTGGTTGTTTGTTTTGTTTGTCTCTACGTGTGGCCCTGTGATGGACTTGCAACCTGTCCAGGGTGTACCCCACCCCTTGCACAGTGACTGCTGGATATTGTCACCAGTGATCCTTGTGACCCTGAAAAGAAGAAACGGGTATAGATAATGGATGGATCGATAGTAATAATAATAATAATAATGCATTAGTCTWATATAGCACTTTTTGAGACCCTCAAAGACGCTTTACAATTTCATGCATCCTTCATTTACACACCAATGGTTGTAAACTACAATGTAGCCACAGCTGCCCTGGGGCAGACTGAAGGAGGCTGGGATGCCATACTGCGCCACCAGTCCCTCTGACCACCATAATAAGCAAGGCGAGTGAAAWATCTTGTCCAAGGAGGACATAACAGCTGAAACAGCTGAACCGGCAACCCACCCACAGTTTGACTTCCCGAACCACTCTTGCCACAGTCGCCCCAGCCTCATCAACTAAGCTGGACTGTTGTAACCAATAGGAAATTTCAACTGCAGCACCCACCCATAGAGACRGACATAAAAACTGTTTTAGGTCAAATATTGCAGAAGTAAACAAATGKACACAAAGATGTCACAGTTTGCACAGAAACATAATGATAGCAYTATTAAGGCCAAATTTTGACAATTTATTTGCAAAACAGAAGTGGATTTGGAGTGTTATTACTATTTATAAAGAAATAACAGAAAGATGCAAAAAGATTTTTTATGCTTTAAAACCTTGTTGCTTTTTACTCTATCACAATTTGACTTTAATAGTTATTTGTGGTTCTCTTGATTTTTCCATGAATTTACCAGAAGTCGGGTGTTGTTTCAGGTTCACTTGCTCCCAGCCCAGATAGCAGTGACAACAGTGATACGCAGCACAGCGGAGGCACTGACATGGAGATGGACGAGCAGATGATGGTGACTGGCAGCAAGAGGAGCCAGCAGAGGCTATCAGATACAGAGGTACTGGTCATCATTTCATTTAAAGTTTTGTTATTGCTAGAGTAATTGTGCTAAACAATGGTTACAGGAGAATCAACAACTTAAACAATTCAAGTTTGTTTTTCTACTTAATACATGGTTGTCGTGGGGTAGTAAATTAAGAGTTAAGGCCAGTGAAAGGTAGTAAAAGGTAAACAGAATTTGACTTGGTAGTAAAGTTTTGATCAACTTGCATGGAGTAAAGTTCTCCTTCGCGACTGATTTCCGTAATCTGTAAAAAAGAAAAAACAGTAACAAAAACAACAAAAAAAAAATGGTTGTTTTCTGTTGCGGTCTCACTGAACCCGCTCAGTTTAACGGGATGCTCCTTTCAACAAATCAAACGAACCCCAGAGCACATCCAGTTAGAGCAGAGCAGGATAGGTCTGAAAAGTCTGCAGGAGCAGCGGCTGGAGGAGCGGTCAGTCAGTGAGTAAACCTCCCCTCTACCCCTGCACTTCACTCTGGAGCTTCCCGAGACTTTGCTCTAAAACCTAACTTTATATTAAATATTTATGTGTTCCGGTTAGTCGGTATCCAACACATACGTCCAACTTTGCGTGTGTGACGAAGCTCCTCGTGCAAAGGCTGCGCGCGATGCGCAACATTCAGTTTGTCAAGCTTTTTGCTTACCTATCCTACAACATCTCATAAATTATAAAATGTTCGGTCATGTCCTTTTGGAGAATACTATGGTAAATGGTAAATGGACGGTATATAGCGCCTTTCTATCCATCCAGGACACTCAAAGCGCTTTACACTACAGATATTCACCCATGCACACACTGATGATGGCAAATTACAACTGTAGCCACAGATGCCCTGGGGCACACTGACGAGGCTGCCGTACACAGGCACCACCGGACCCTCTGACCACCATAAGTAGGCAAGACACCTGACTCAGCCTGTAACTGAAAATATGTATGGAGGACAACAGAGCTGCTTCATGGAAGAAGAACCTCAGCTTAGTCTATTAGGTTTAGCATTATGTATTAGCTCAGCGCTACACATTCTCCTCTCGTCACTGAGGTCCTCCATCCACATGACAGAGAGGGGAACACAAAATGACTCAGCCTGTAACTGAAAATATGGATGGAGGACCTCGGTTTAGCTTGTTTGTCGCGCTACCGCTGAGCTAATACATATAAAGCAATATAGCGTCGGGGCTAACGCTAAGAGCTTCAGATTTTCATTGGTTGTTTAGCTCTGATGAGGGGCTATCCATCAGGTCAACCAAATGCCAAAAAAATAAAAAAATAAAAAAAAAAGGACCCAAACCACTATAATTTTGGGATGCACCTGGTAGCATGACATTTATTAGGAATAAAAACTTCTGGGTTCTGGTGCATTTCTGCGTGCGGGGGTCATTATGTTACCACTATGCGGTATCTAGTTTTTTAAATAATTTAAATGAAATACACCTGTTTTTTATGTCTATCATATTTTGCTGGATATGTAACTTGAAAAATGGTGGGTGATGGACTTTATTTGCTTTCAACAAACTTACTTTTCATTATCATAAAAGTTTTGAAACGTTATTGTCTTACAGACATACAGCACTGTTCTAGGTGTGACAAGGAACTCTTATGTTTTTTATCTCAGGAGTCAATGCAGGGCAGCTCAGATGAGACGGCAAACAGTGTGGAGGAGGGCAGCAGTGGACCGGGCAGCAGCAGTGGCTGCAGCGAGGCCTCCAGTAATGAAGCTGCCTCTAGTCGAGCCAGCCAATCAGCCGGCAGCCCCGGCAGTGAGATGCACTCTGACGACATGGCAGACAGCGAGGCCTTAAAGGAGGAAGAGGAGGATGAAGAAAACGAGGACGATGATGAGGATGAGGAGGCTGATGAGGAGGAAGAGGACGAAGGGAACCGGTCAGCTGTTGAAGATGGTCAGCAGAAAGCAGTGCAGGAGCAGACTGAGTCGAGGAAGAGGAAGGCGGGGGAGGCTCTCTGCGATGGGCCAAGTCACCGGGTAGGACCCATTGGTTCAGGGGCAGGAACCAAAACCAAAGTTCTTTCCTTCAGTCCAGAGACTTCGACCGTCATGGTCACTGCAGCATCRTCGACCTTAGAGGGCCGCATGAAGATGCTGGACACTTGCTCTTCGTCATCCACTCGACCTGAGGGTATTGAGCATCAGCAAGGGCAGGATATCAGTCCCTCTCAGATAGTCCAGGCGCCCCAGGAGCCTTCCTGTTTGCCAAGACCGGGGGACTTCCTCGGAGAGGCCATGGGCAGTGAGCTATTCAACTGTCGCCGATTCATAGGACCCCAACACCATCATCATCATCACCACCACCATCATCACCACCACCATGAGGGGTAACACTGAAACCACTGAACTAAACTATTTAGTTCCACATCTTTATAAATGTATATGTGTAATAAGTTTGCTTCTCGCATTGTTTTATAACCCTTTTCCCACCATCAGTCCCATGGTGGAGGACATGCTGAGTGCTGATGACGTCAGCTGCAGCAGCTCCCAAGTCAGCGCCAAGTCGGAGAAAAACATGGCCGACTTTGATGGGGAAGAATCAGGCTGTGAGGAAGAGCTTGTCCAGATCAATTCCCATGCTGAGCTCAGTTCCCACCTGCAGCAGCACCTCCCCAACCTGGCCTCCATTTATCATGAGCACCTGGTGCCATGTGAGCAGCACCCTATAAGTTGGAACATACCTGAATTATTTTAAACTAAACTTTTTTTTATGTTAAAACACTGTATGAAGGTGAACCTACAAGAACTAAAAATGCTAAATTGGTGAACTGTGTGTTTTTCTTCAGGTCCAGCTGTCCTTAAACATCAGTACTCCAGCCATGCTGTGACAGACATCAACTTAGATAATGTTTGTAAGAAAGGAAATACCCTTTTGTGGGACCTGGTGCAAGATGAAGATGCGGTATGGCTTGATTAAATTCTGCATCTCATTTTTTAGGGATCATGTTTAAAGTTAAATCACAGTTATCAATGTTGCTTTAATAAACAGCAAACATCAGGGCAGGGTTCGACAAGATTATTTTTTTTTACCTGCCCCGTTGGGCAGGTGACAACAATKTTACCTGCCCGACATGAAAGGTTACCTGCCCAAAACAAAAATGTTCAAAATTTGATAAAATATAAGAAAACCATGTACTGTACTTGGTACTACAAAAATACTAACATGGYTACAGAGGTACATAACATATGACACCTGATTTAGCAGATGCAAACATTGCAGACTGAGTCACTTGCTAAGTCAGTCAATTGTATCATCAAAAACATCTTCAATAAAAATTTTTAGACCTCTCCAGCGTTTCCCGTAGTGTACTCGCCTTGCGGGCAGGGCTTATGAAAACAGAATGATCAACATCAGCAACTTTGTTTTAAATACAATTTACAGAACATGAAAAAGTCTGAAATTTGCATTAATTGAACCTTATATAGTCTAACTCTTATCTAAAGATACATTTAAAATATCTTGAACTGGAGTCTCCATACAACTCAATGATAAATGATGTTATTTATACTAGTCAGAATGTAACTAGAGATATTTAAATAGGTATTTTGCCTTGTCAAAATATATTAATACATGTCTATTTATTTCTTTCTTTCATTCATAAAAAAAACAATCTATGCACACCTTTAAAAAAAATAAAAGGGTGCAGAGTGAAGAAAAAACAAAATCCTATGTGCCCCTTATTTTCAAAAATCAACTTCAACAAATAAGGTCAAGCTGGAAAGTTCTCCAAATTAAAAAAACAAGTAAATAAAACGAAACAAAAACATTTTATTATTTTATCCTTAATAACTAATGTCTAATCTAGTCTTAAAACAATTTCATATAACTGGAATGTAAGTGTAGTGAAGCCAAATAAATGTAATATGGGCCTGCCATACAGTGATCTTCCGCCTGTTGAACTGACCCTCTGCTGCGCTGTCCAAGCAGAAGCCGTCTGTTATACATTAGCAAGATGGATTTATGACTGAACGAACGTCCACATCATTTTGTTGTCTTCTCTCTGGGTAACAATACATATAATTTTTTTTTTCTCTGACAACTTGGGTGTGAAAAAAAACTACGATTGTTAATGCATCGCTCTGCGTGACAGGCAGCGAGACGGAGGGAGGAAATGATCCCGTGACACGATGGCATGACGTAACTTTGCTACAGCAGGAGGGGAAAATTATTTCTTTATTTCTTATCAGAATATTTTAAATAAATGGCCCTATTAAAAAAAAACGAAAGAAATTGTTTACCTGTTCAGTCGGGCAGGAATCAAGACACACCCAGCTGCCCGAATATGGGTTTTACCTGCCCCGGACAGTCGGGCAATGGGATTTGTCGAACCCTGCTTCAGGGTTTACTGATGTTTAGGCTCTATTTTGTTAAAATGCTAGACAGATTTACTCAAATTCTGCTTTCTGTAAAAATGACTAGCAGGAATTCAGTTTAAAGAAGTAGTAGTTCAGAAAGTAAGATTCTTTGGAAATGTTATGAACAATTAATATTTTACCTATTTCAGATAGCTATGGTCAGACAGCTATTTGAACAACCTCCATTTTAATGCTGATAAGCTAACAGCTAATCTAAAAAAGATGGCTGCTGTTTTTAAAATAAGTTAAATTTCACAAAACATTTTGTAGTTCATTTGAATGATGTTTCAAAAACTTTACATTACTGACAATTTTTATTGCACAAATTGTTACATAGAATAATTGTGTATTTGCAAGCACAAATAATACCAGCAGCATGGAGGGGTAGCATTTCCAGCCCCACCTAAGGGACTTACAGCAGTAATATTATGATTTTTCTGCTAAAGTACCTGTGTAAGGCCAAATTATGGCACAGTAGCGGTTTAGATAATAGCATTTACATTAGTAAACGTGACAGAAATGTACCATATCTATATATAATTGTTGCCTTATATTTTGGTGGAAAGTATTTGATATTAATTTGTTCTTATAAATCTGTTGACATTTTCAATGTGTTGCCTGTGTTYAGATTAATCTCTCTGAGGGTCTGATAAATGAAGCAGAGAAGCTGCTGTGTTCGCTCGTTTGTTGGTTCACTGACAGACAGATMCGAATGCGTTTCATTGAGGGCTGCCTGGACAACTTGGCCCACCATAGGTAAGAATGTCTGTCAGACATACTGTAAATGACATATTGTAAATGTTGCCGCTTGTGAGTAAATGTTCTTACCAAACAAACTTTCTTTTTATTTAAAGTGTTTTTATTATTTTATATTTAAAACACAAAAATAAATAAATAAAAAAGTGAACAAATAAATGTACAACAAAATTACCACCCTCCCACACT